GGATCAATGCAGGTCACGGTTAGAACACGGTCCCACTCACACTATAATGCAGTGGGCGCTGTGCTGTAATGCAAACATGCTGCATATTATCACAGTGCACTGCACGTCACCACAGGTTGCAGTACAGCGCACCATGCTGCCTTGCAGGGACCACATTGTACACTTCAAATAAAGAAAATTATGGTCAAACATTTTTTTGGGGCTTTAGTTCTCTTTTGGGTTACACGAGTACATTTGCTATATGCTGACATTGGAGAGCCGTGCTGCAGCTTGGAAGGATCCCAACAATATTGTTGGGATTCACCCCTCTGCTTGATTGACAGCTGCCTCTCCAGTGCCAGAGCTAGCTGTGTCCGCCCCCTCCCCTGTCTGTCCCGCTAATGAGCCCTGGAAGAACAGAGAGGGAAGGGAGAATGCCTGCAGGGAGTGATGAATGACAGCCATAGTTCTCTACAGGGAGAAGCTGTGAGCAAGTGGTTTGTGATCGCTCAGTTCTTGAGTTATAGAGGCAGCGTGTGACAGCTGCAGTGCCACACACCGGCTCAAAGTATTGGATGGGTACATTTTACTCTACTAATAGTTTTCCTTTATAAAAAAAAAGAAACAATGTAGACAGTGACAGTTCTGGCAGTGTGCGTTAGAATGCACGCTTACGAAGCTGTCACAATGCACTAGCCTGTCTGCTAAAATGCAGCATTTTAGTAGACAGGCTAGTGTGAAAGGGCCCTAAAACTAAACCTGATAGGACAGGTTCCACTCAGAACAGGGCTCACCATGGTCGACCAAAGAAGTTGAGTGCACGTGCTCAGCGTCATATCCAGAGGTTGTCTTTGGGAAATAGACGTATGAGTGCTGCCAGCATTGTTGCAGAGGTTGATGGGGTGGGGGGTCAGCCTGTCAGTGCTCAGACCATATGCCGTACACTGCATCAAATTGGTCTGCATGGCTGTCGTCCCAGAAGGAAGCCTCTTATTTTCTATTGAATCTGGCTAATTTCCTCAGCGTTTGCGTTTTTAGAGGCATTTCATGTCGGCGACACAATAGCCAGCAACAATCGCTCTTCATTTCTGTCTATGGGCTTTACTACAAATCAATGAAGAACAATCTGTAGCAGAATACAGCAACCCAATTCTATAGCACTTGTGTATCTTGCAGCATGACAAGTTGCTTTATAGTTATAAATCACCATTAACTCTAGCTAGCTACAAATCACCGTTAGCGCCTGTTCACACTACACAATGCAGGAACACACGCAAATGCCAAATGTGGCAAAGTAGCTCGTGCTCGTGTATTTTCAGCTGTGAGTGTCCCGCATTTTTTCCTGTGCACATGTGGGGGTTTGATGCGTGTCCACACACCGAAAAAAATGCACCTTTTACCGGCCACATTTGGGGTGCCATTAGCAAGTAATGGCACCACAAGTGTGGCGCACATTTTTCACTCGATGTGTGAACGTGCCTCAAGGCGACGCAAAGGTGTGAACAGGGGCTAGATCTCTGGAATTAGCCATTTCTAGACACAATTAGGTCCTATTCACATCTTTGTAATCTTATGCAATCTGACGCCTAGTCGATTGTACAGATCTTAATGAACCATAAAGGAAGAGGCTGGGAATTTGGGAACATTTACAGGGCTATTCACTAAAGGGGGTTTGGAGAAGGCAGGAGAAGTGAGTAATCTAGGACAACATAGCTAAACTGGAAAGTCAGCTGAATTGGAGGATTTTTCTAAATCAGCTATTTTGGCCTAGATTGGTCACTTCTCCTGCCTTCTCCAAACTCTTCACCCTTCTGTGAATAGACCTGATAGTTTATACAAATAATCAATGTGGGATTTCTTTGCTGTCCTCATCTTATCAGTGTAGAATGGAAGCAGTGCAAGGAGCAGGGCAGAGAGTACACAGTGACAGCAGAGCATGGCCTCACCCCTCCCCAATGTTTGGGCGTCGCTTAGCAACCGGATGTCCCAGCACCTGCTTGTGCTGCAATTCCCCCTGTGATGGCTGTGCTGTGTATGTAAGTATATCAGTGAGCCTGTCTATATCCGTCTCCAGCACATTCTTCCTATACACCATTCGATCAGTCGTTGTTGAATCATTCATCAGCATGTTCCCTCAATGCACTGCCACTAATGAATCACTTCTCATCTTCTTGTTCCCCTAGCTCACTAGACTTTGCTGCCTTCACTTGTTACAATCACTTTCTTTCTGATTAAAATATCACACACTGCTCAGCTTGTGGGTTGTTGGATCACATTTCCATTGTACTTGTTTATTATTGAGGGCCGGTGCAGACCTGAGCGATCAGGGACGCACGTCCCGGGATCACGTGGTCGTGCACAATTGCAGACAGCTTGATTTCAATGGGGTGACATCTGCGCGGCAATCGCAGAAAAAAAGGTACATGTATCTTTTTTTTGTGATACACAACGCGTGTACGGGTGCACAGGTGGAATTGCGGTGGGAAACCGCGCGATCCGCCCAGTGCGACTGGGGTGCCAATAGAAAATAATGGCACCCACAGCGCGAGCCTCGGTGATGGGTGACTCTGTGAACGTGTGGCAATCCACGCGGTATTGTGCATGATTGCCGCCTGGTCACGGATCACCCAGGTTTGCACTGGCCCTAAAGGGTAAATCCACCCAAGGCTGATATTTTTAGATTGTAAGCTCTCACAGGCAGGGCCCTCCTTACCATCTTGTCTTGAATTGTATTGTGATTGTAATGTATTATATGGTAAAGCGCTGCGCAAACTGTTGGCGCTATATAAATCCTGTATAATAATAATATTTTGGCTACAGGTTGATCCATACACTATACAATAAGTGTACAATCTCCTTTAGGGGTTGTTTTCTATGTGCCCCGATCACTCCGCAACACAGACGTGACATTTCTCATTTTTTCATAACGCCCTGTGCCACATCACAACACAGTACACACCACCCTGCTGTGTGCAGACCACAAAAGTAAACAGTGTGATGTTCCAGGCCTGTCTCATCACACTAGCCTGCCCGCTGAAACTGAGCGCTTTAGAGTTCGGGCTAATGTGAACGAGTTCTTACATTAAGGGTGGGCAACCTCGGCACTCCAGGTGTGGTGAAACTACAAATCCCATCATACTTCTGCCTTTTGGAGTCATGCTTATGGCTGTCAGTCTTGCAATGCCTCATGGGATTTGTAGTTTCACCACAGCTGGAGTGCTGCATTTGCCCATCCCTGCCTTAGATCTACCAGTAACTATGTAGTACAACAGAATGTTTCATAGATACTGACTGCATGGATTGTTTAGGTTTGTCTTGATCTTACATTTGGTAAGATCAAGAGTGCAAAGGTGATTGTACAGAGATTGTGCAGTGAAATAGTATAGTGTATGCCAGCTTAAGTCACCCACTGTATTATTGCTGTATGTATACCTGTCTGGGAATTCAGTAATGAAAACTCTACCCTTCTGCTTTGGGATCTATCCTCCTAGTGCACGGCTTCTGAGCCTTGCTGTATTTATTTCACGATAGTGCATGGGAACCCTAACTATTCTTTTACTAAAGCCACATGTATCACAACCGCCATTTTTTCTCCGTTTATCTTGTGGATATCAAAAAATCTTATCTCCCACTGCCCATGTCAGGCTCATTGTAAATTCTTTGCACATTTTGGTGCGGGAGAAATAAACTCCCATGCACATGCGCAGCTCAGTGTAAATTCCAGCATACCTCGGTGCGGGGATGAATTAATTCCCATGCACATGCGCTGCTCAGTGTAAATTCCGGCATACTTTGGTGCGGGGATGAATGAACTCGCATGCCCATGCACAGCTCAGCGTAAATTCCGGCATACCTCGTGGCGGGGATGAATGAACTCCTATGCACATGTGCAGCTCAGTGTAAATTCCGGCATACTTTGGTGCGGGGATGAATGAACTCGCATGCCCATGCACAGCTCAGCGTAAATTCCGGCATACCTCGTGGCGGGGATGAATGAACTCCTATGCACATGTGCAGCTCAGTGTAAATTCCAGCATACTTTGGTGCAGGAATGAATGAACTCCAAGTACATGCACAGCTCAGTGTAATTCTGGCATAGCTCGGTGCGGGGATGAATGAACTCCCATGTACATGCGCACCTCAGTGTCATTTCCAGCGTACCTCGGTGCGGGGATAAATGAACTCCCATGTACATGCACAGCTCAGTGTAAATTCCAGCATACCTCCGTGCAGGGATGAATGAACTCCCGTGTACATGCACAGCTCAGTGTAAATTCCAGCATTCATCCGTGCAGGGATGAATGAACTCCCATGTACATGCACAGCTCAGTGTAATTCTGGCACACCTTGGTGCGGGGATGAATGAACTCCCATGTACATGCACAGCTCAGTGTAATTCTTGCATAGCTCGGTGCGGGGATGAATGAATGAACTCCCATGCACATGCGCAGCTCAGTGTCAATTCCGGCATACCTCGGTGCGGGGATGAATGAACTCCCATGTAAATGCACAGCTCAGTGTAATTCTGGCACAGCCTGGTGCGGGGATGAATGAATCCCTGAGCACATGAGCACCTCAGTGTACATTCCTGCACACCTTGGTGCGGAGATGAGTGAACTTACATGCACATGCGCAGCTTAGTGCAAATTCTGGCACACCTCGGTGCAGGGATGAATGAACTCCCGTGCACATGAGCAGTTTGCAATAAATTCCTGGCACACTTTGGTGCTGGGATGAATAAACTCCCTTGCACAGCTTGGTGTAAATTCTCGGCACACCCAGTTCTACAAAAGTCAATTTTCTAATTGACTTTTGTTGAGGGAGCCAGGTAGAAAATTTTCAGCCAAGCAATCAGCCACTGTGCAGTCCAGCAGCCATAGCCTCTTCCCAATGATTGTCTCAATATAGCATCCTTGAGCACCATTATAATAATCATGGGTGGTCTTAGTAGCTGTGTATAGATATGACTGTCTGGTTAGGCTCCGTTTCTGATTTACTTTGGTCTGACTTTTTCTTCTAGGTTACTGTAAACATGGTAAATGATACTAGAGATCGGAAGTCTTTCCTTATGAACAGAAAACACATGTCACCATCCACGGAGGAGAGAGTGGATGTCCAGAGATTACATCAGCTATACAATGATATCCTAAAACCCCTGACTTTATTCCCCAATCACAGTCCGCGCTCCAGACGTGAAAAAAAAGGTTTGCTTAACTCTATTTATCACTATCTATCACTCTCATTAAAATGGCACGATCATATCAGCAATAAGATGTCTTCTATCCAGAAATAGAAACGTTTTACATGCTACGTTCCATTGAATGTACCGACCTCCCTCTAGTGGCTAATTTACAATGCTATGAGGGGAATTTATCAAAACCTGGAGCAAACAAAACCTGGAGCAGTTCGTCAGCTTCTCTCTTTTATTTTCAAACCTTAACTCCACAAGCTGAAGATAGAAGCTGATTGGTTTACTGTGGACAACTGCTCCAGATTCTGTCTGCTCCAGGTTAGATAAATCCCCCCCTACTATATTTCTGTATTTCTTACAATACCAAAAAAGGAAAGAACAAGCTTCTAGAAGTGTGAAATACACATTAAAGCCACTTTATGGCAAACACTGAAATAATAACTTAAAGCTGAACTCCAGTCACAAAAATGTTCTTTTAAATATATTCCTCAATAGTTACAAGGGATGTTAATTCACTTTGTGTTGACCAAATGCCTTTACAAACCCAGGTATACCTTGTAAAAGTAGCAGTGACATGACCACCGTGCTGTACAAAGTCTATGCAGAGGGCAGAGCTGTGGGAGGGGCCCAGCAAACCACACCCACTACAGACTGCCTGCAGAAAACTACAGGAGGAGTCAGATACAAGACTAGTCACCCTGCACAAGGAGAGAGAGCAGCAGTGACTGGTCTTTATTACAGGAAGCTCCTGTACAGGGGCGATGTTTCACACTAGATCCGATCAGATCTGGAAGAAATACAGAAAGCACACCAAGATTCAAATGAGAATACACATGGCTCAAGACAACATTTGCTTATGCCAGGGTTCAGCTTTGTAATATGCATTTACTGTAAATACACTGTAGTGTAACATCATTTAGTTTGTCAAGGCCAAGTCTACCCAAAACTGATGCTTAAAGGGACTGATTCTGTTACGGGTCTCTAATACTGAGATCTCCCTCCCAGACTTCCCTGCAATACCCCACTATCACGGCCATTACAAAATCAAGAGGCCTTGTTACGCTGCCTCCACTGGATTCTGCATGATGTTTAATAAAGTTGTATTACACCCGCCATCTTCATTGTGGTCCTGATAGTGTGCTGATAGTGCTAGTGACTTGAGGGAAGCAGCAAAATGCAAACTGCTATAGCAAGATCTTATCTTTGAGACAACAAGAGATATAAGTCCAATTCCTCAGCACCTACCTAATAGATATTTTAGTTTTGGAATTTAAAAATTGTATTGGTTATATGCAGGGCCATCTCGCCTGGGATGTTGTCCCAGGGGTCATTGCTTCGGGTCTCTTTGGGGGGAAGCAGGCAGAGCAGCATGGTTGCTCTGCTGCACAATTTGTGCCTGCTGCCCTCTTTCCGGCCAGAGTGTCCCAGGGCCATACACATCGCCCAGCAACCTGGGGCGCTCTGGCCGGCGCCCCCCCCCCTGGTTAGGACGCCGGCCAGAGCGTCCCAGGTTGCCAAGAGCTGGGCTCTGCATGCACTGCAAATGTGTATCTGCAGAGGGCAGCATACACCCCTCCACCGCCTCAGGTGGCAAAAGGGTTAGTGACATCACTGGTTATATGATGATGCATGCATCAAAAGGGTGGGGACATGTGTAGCTGGATTTGAGCCATATAAAGCTGGTGATTTCAGAAAAGGGCTACGTGATGGGATAATGGTTCTGGTGACTGAAATGATACTCAAAAATTCGGTTTATTGCAGATCTCAATGAGCCATGGAAACAGTCAGGAGACAAAGCAATAAAGGAAAATGTCAATGAAAGCAATTTCAAAGGTGCAGTATCGTAAACTGATCATACAGAGGATACATTTGTGGGAAGATCGGATGAAGATTTGTTGAATATTCAAAGTAACATTTGATGAACACGAATTACATTGCAGCATTCTAGGTACCAGAATGTTCAATGGTGGTGGAAAGTCATTGGATTGTTTTTTGATGTACCAAACAATCGTTTAGCATAGTGTTTCCCCCAACTTTTTACATATGTGTGCCTCCATCAGAACTGTTTTGTTGTCTGACTGCCACCTGTAGTATTAAGGCCCAATTGCAGGTGCATTAAAACAGTTAGGATACTGTTTTAAAAAAAATATCTGCTGGAACACACAGAAGCTAACACAAATTTCTTCCCTATGCTGTCCCTATGCTGTGCTGTCTTCCGCTTGTACCTATTTGAGTATGTTCTCCTATAAGACAGTGTGCCAGCTACACTCAGGGGTTCATTTATAAAATGAGTTCCGCCCGGCATATAGCCAGCCGGATGCTGTTCTCTCTGTTCTCTCAGCACTAGCACCCCTAGATGGCGTCTATACTTGTTGGCATCATCTTGGGGCACTAGTGTCGTGCGAAAATCATTTGTCCAGCTATATGCCGGGCGGAACTTTTGTAAATGAAACCTTAAGAGTGAGTTCCATATTTTGGGAAACGCTAGTTTTAGATTACTGGTCAAATCACTACTATCGGAGGTAATGAGCAGTCACCCCAGAACTGTAGGAGTCACATAAAACAATAGCAAAATATGTTGCTATGTTGCTAAAGAAAATCTGTTTCTTATTCATTTGAATATTCAACAAGTCTTTGCCAAATTCACCCTAATTGTCCCAAAATTTGGCCTTTTTCCATATGCTTGTACTTGTTTTTATACTGATTGTTGGCATATGATGTTTTGATTGCACTCACCGCTAAATCTAAGCTTGCATAAATTATTAGGGCTCATGCACATGGGTGCTTTTACGGGAGGGCAGCGTAAATCGGTGCTCCTTTCTGCGCTTGGGATACACAGCTGTTGCTTACAGCTTCCCACAGACATGAATGGCTGTACTTGGCTATATGTGAGTATAGGCCAGTAATTGCCTAAACCTGCATATAGCGTATAGAAGCATCCCCCGAATGCAGAAAGTTTGCATTCGGGAAATACTACCGCATGCTGTACTTGGGTTTACGCGAGTACCAGTGTATACCTACGTACAGCTGCCCACAGCTATGTCTATGGGTAACTGCGCACGATCTGTGTATCCTGGGGGGCAGAAAAAAAGCACCAATTCATGCCGCGTGCATGAGAACATTTTTCTATTGTGAATATTTGAGCCTAATGCGGTTCATCATACAATGTTTCGTAATATATATATTTATGTACATAGCTAATAAATAGAGTTTAGTACAGAAATAGACATACTTACTTACATACTTAGGGGTGTATTGATAAACAACTCACTGGGCCGTTCAGTTTGCAAAATTGCATGAATGTTCATTCTGTGCGAATGGAGCCCCAAACTAAAGTTTTTAGTACATTTTCTTTCCAGTTTGAATGTACTATATGTAAAATACAGCATTATGACCACTAGATGGAACTGAGGAACATACCCTAGGAAATAAGTTTTTATTTCCTATGCTCCTGAGCTCCATCTAGTGGCCATAATGCTGTATTACATGATGCCATTCAAAATGACATCGGACTTATAAACAAAACATATACTAAGGGCTTTGTTTTTGTCCTTCCATTTGCACAGAATGAACATTCACAGAGGTTCGCATGGTGAATAGCTCTGCAAGTTGTTAATAATCAACCCCTTTTTAGAGTTTATCACTATAAATGTTATTCATTTACGTTTTCTGTGTTTGAGCAGATGAGGTCTACTCCCGTTCAGCCGCACCATTCATGAAAGACATGCGCACTGTTTCGCCAGATGTTCTTTGTGATATGGTTAGAAGAAGGTTACATAAACTATTGCCATTTACTTCTGGATCCACAGATGTCCAAAAAGTATTTGTACGTATTGTAAATCTATGTAATCTCTCTTGTTTCATCATACAATGCCATTAGAATGAACTTGATTGGATGTTTCCTGTATTGCATACATTACAGCTTCTCTTCGGTGAAGACTAAGTCTAATTTCATACATCGGTGGTCACTGCTCAGCTGCTGACACCTGATATGTCTCAGGGACTTTACTAATTATTTCTTCCTGTAGTCGTTCCTGGCCCAAAGTAGAACATTTTGATGTAAACATGTTGCATACAGGTTGGGTGCTGACTACAAAATCGCAGCCTGGACCATGTTAGACCAGATGTTCCACGTTTGCCAGCTTTTTATTTCTGCCCGAGTCCCGCTGGGGTGATTCACCCTCTCTTTTAGTCCTAGGAACCATTGTCAAGTTAGAGAAAGTGTCAAAAAAGTTGTCACAAGAATGGATGGGAAATCTTTCAATTGGAACAATCGTTCTATTGAAAAGATTTGGTTTATTCATGTAATTTGGATAAAGTTGTGTGCAACACTGATTTGATAAATTGAAAAGTTTTCCATTAGATTTAAGCAGATTTTATACTTGGCATTACATATTACAATCTCCACGTATAATGCATTTTTCTTACATTGTCAAGTGTCAAGGTAGCCACACAATATACAATTTGTCTTCCAATCTCCTTCATGCAAACACTCACAATCAATTCACGGTATATCCTGTCAGGTAGTTGTTGGTAAATCAAAGGCCCCTTTTTGATGGGCACATGTATATTCTGATCACCAGGGGTCTGGAGCAGCTGATCAGAGCAGTTCAGGATGGATGTCATTGTTGTGACATACGTGTCCGTCCAGTTTTCTCCTCCATCTTGCGAACTTGCTGAACTTACCAGACCCATGTTAGGTCTATGGGGAGTCGGATGTAAACGGACATGTTTCCGTTTATATTAGATTATCTTTGATCCCCCACAATCAGCTCCGTCGAAATCAGAACTCTGCTCTGTTTGGTTTTCTGGACCTGAACCGACCTAGACTGCCCATAGACCAACATTAGGCCTCCAATCAGACCCGCCTTAAAAACTATGTGTTTTTTAATGTGTGTGTGATGTGTGTGTTTTTAATGCATGTGTAATGTGTGTGTTGTGTGTGGGGTCTATTCACTAAGCTGCCGAAGGATCTAGCTATAGCTTCGGCCGATCCTTCGGCTAGCTTCGGCCCCAGGACCCCTTTGGTTCAGTAGAACCGAAGAGCTGCTGTACGGGCTATTCACTATAGCCCGTACAGCTCCCGAAGTCGGCCGGGCGGCTCAGTCGAGCCGAAGGCATATGCATCGGCTCGACTGCCTGCTACGGACTGCTGGGCGGAGCCAGCCGTCATCTCACGGTTGGCTCTGGCCACTTGCACAGGCAGATCAGCGTCCCTGGTTACCAGATAACCAGGGACACTGATCTCCAGATACCCCAACTCTCCCGGCCGCCCGGGAGAGAGTTACTTTCTGCCGGAAAGTTTTACTCTGCTCGATCGACCAGAGAAAACCTTTCCCTGCTCTGTTGTCTTTTTTTTTCTTTTTCTTCTGATATCAGAGCCGTTGGCTGCCATCAGAACAAAAAAAGCTCTGCCCAATCGTTTTCTATTATTTTTTTTCTACTTTTTTTCTACTTTTTAAACTAGTTTTCTATAGTATCGAGCAGAATTGCCGAGCCGAATGCCGCTCGGCGGCATTCGGCTGTTCGCTCACTGCAAGTGGAAAAAGACTTTATAGTGAACCCGTTTCTCTGTCTTGCAAGTAGAGGTTTAGTTTACACATTAATATAAATATATATCATGGTAAATGTCCTGCAATGGCAGCTCAATGGCAACATACAGAAAATAAATCAGACTTGCAGTTTCCTTATAATGGCTATTTATCATTGGACAGGAGGAGATTATTCTAAGCGAGGTGAAAGTTGCCTGTGATGGTATTCCACATGTCCTATGCACTACTTTATTAAATTCAAGAGAAAAGCATCGCCTGCACCGCCGTGTCCTCGATCACATCATGATTGTCTCCGAGCAGCTGTTCCTGCACTACTTGCACAGAATGGATTGGAGGAAATCACATTCTCTCTTCACTGAAGAAGCCGATCTCACACGTTGCAAGGCACAGTTGTTGCTTGATTGCTCCAAATTGTAAGTCCTAACAAGAGGCTGGAAAATTGTCTTGTTTCATCACGTCTATCACAGAGAGATAATTCTGAGATTAGCATTTTCAGAATTTGTTTTGAACTATATAAACTTAACTACATGTGTTATAATTCCCCCCGTTCTTACTTTATTTATTGCAGGTATTTATATAGCGCCAACAATTTACATACTTCACATTCACATCAGTCCCTGCCCTCAAGGAGTTTACAGTCTAAGGTCCCTATCTACCATGCATACATACAGGGCAAATTTAGACAGCCTGTCTTTAGAGTGTAGGACGAAACCGGAGTACCCAGAAGAAACCCACACAAGCACAGGATAACATGCAAACTCCTTGCAGATAGTGTCCTGACTGGGATTTAAACCGGGGGCCCCTAGTAGTGATGGGCCGAACACCCCCTTGTTCGGTTCGAATTCGAACTTTAGAACATGTGAAAAGTTCAAATTCGAACTCGAACTCAATGCAAGTCTATGGGGGTAGAACATTGAAAATCAAATGTCCCCATTTTCAAGCCTTAAATGCAATGTCTTGGCAATAAAAAGTGTATGGGGATCCGGGTACTGCCCTGAGGGACAGGAATCAATGAAATAATTTAAAAAAAAAAACGTTTTTAAAGCAACAGTGATTTTTACAGTGATGACTTACAGGGTAAGAGTAAAAATGAAAAAATCCTTCAAATATCGTGCCTGGGGGGTTCCCTTAACCTACCTGCAAAGTGGCGGATCTGTACGATGTATAGAACCTGCTGCAGCAAAACTGACATTTCTTTTAAAAAAAATACTTTTTTTTTCTTCTCTTAAAGTGTGCGGTTCCCCCTCCCAAAAAATACCAGACCCTTTAGGTCTGGTAGAAATGTTAGGAGGGACCAATTTTTTTTTTTTTAAACTGTGTAGGGTTCCCCCTAAAAGTCATACCAGGTCCTTAAGATCTGGTAGGAATATTAAGGAGGGACCCCATGTACAAAAAAACAAAAAAAAGTGTGCAGAGTTCCCCCTAAAAGTCATACCAGGCCCTTAAGGTCTGGTATGAATATTTAGGAGGGACCCCATGTACAAAAAAAAAGTGTGCGGGGTTTCCCATAAAAGTCATACCAGGCCCTTAAGGTCTGGTAGGAATATTTAGGAGGGACCCTATGTAACAAAAACTAAAAAAAAGTGTGTGGGGTTCCCCCTTAAAGACTCTACCAGGACCTTAAGGTCTGGTAGGAATTTTAAGGAGGAACCCCACCCCCTAAAATGAGGGGGGAAATCCTTGGGTGCCCCCTAAAATTCCATAGCAGACCCTTGATCCGAGCATAGGCCTGGCAGGGCCGGAAAGGGGGGGGACGAGCGAGCGCCCCCTCCCTCCCACACCAGGCCACATGCCCTCGGCACTGGGAGGGTGCCCCCATGCTGATGGGGACAAAGGCCTCGTCCCCACAACCCTGACCCAGTGGTTGTGGGGGTCTGCGGGCAAGGGAGCTTATTTGCATTGGGGTACCCCTTTAATTAAGGGGGCACCCAGATGCCACCCCCCTCCCCTCCCATTTACTAAAGGGTTAAATAAAATAGTTAGTAAAAAGTCCAGACTCTTGATAAAATCCTTTATTTGGGAAGAAAAACAAAAGACATGTTTTTGACAAGTCTTTTATTTAAAAAAAAAACCCAAAATGGATCCACCGATAAAATCCATGGTCAATCACGATGTCCAGCGTTGTCCACGACGACGACGGAATAAAAAAGAAATAGAAATAATTATTTTTTTTTTTAAACCCGCCGGCCGCCGTCCCGTCCGATCCCCACCGCATAATTACATTTTGACAGTTGCCGGCAAAACATAAACAATTGCTAGCTGTCACCACTAGCTCCGCCCAATTGTGTACTTTGCTGGCATCTGATTGGCGAATCATCATGACTTTGCCCAATCATGGCTCCAAATGAGTACTGAGCTCTGATTGGGCAAAGTCTGGCACCTGACCTATGGTCAGGTGCAAGTCTTTAACCAATTAGAGCTTCAAAGGGCTCTTTGTAGTATGGGAGGTTGCACGGTCAAACAGACCGCGAACATCCCATAAAGTTCGGCGTTCTGCGAGCTCTCGAACAGCCAATGCTCGATTCTAACTCGTGTTCGTACCGGCGGACCATCCCTAACCCCTAGTAACTAGACATGTGCGATTCGTTTCGAAATTCGGACGAAATTTAGAGATTCGGATGTATCCGGATTCCGAATTACAGATATAGCGAATGCAAAAGAATCTGAATTTCCGATTCCGAAATTCGTTAGCGGTAGCCTGTACGAAATGTAGTTTGTTGGACGAAACTTCGTTGCAGCAAAGTGACATTTGAGGGAAACATTTATTTTTTTCCCTCTTAAATGTCACTTTGCTGCAACGAACGAAACGACAACGAAACGAAATTCAAACAAAATTTCGTACAGATTACCGCTAACGAATTTAGTCCAAATCCGAATTCCGATACGAATTGACTTTCGGACCCGAATTCCAAAAAACGCTGCCACTGGATGGTGTTCAGGAACGTAGTCCTTTGTTAGAATTCACACACACTTTAAGGGCTTGTTCACGCGACGTCCGTTTTCTGTGCTGACCTGATCCGTACGCTCCTGCACTAAAAATGCATCCTAATGTATGCCTATGTGTTTTATGGGCTACAGTTCTCACGTGCGCAGTCCATTCAGGTTACGACAGAAAAATACTGCATGTCACATTTTGTACGGTCAGGAAACGGTCAGGAAACGGTCCAGAAACGCAAAACGCGTCAAAAACGCACTGCAGCTAACATACTGACAGCCCCACTCCAGCAAAAAAAAACAACATTTTTTTAAACTGGAACGCATCAAAAACGCAGCAAAACTCGGCAAAAACACATAGCACCGCGTCTGCAGATGCGCACCTGATTCGGACCTGATCAGGACCTGAAACTCATGTGAACAGTCCCTAAATGCCTTACTTTCCACTCTCAGTTATTTAGCATTTGCTTTACTATGATGACTTTAGAATGTACCATTTTTAGATTCCCAACTTGGCTAAATCCCAATCACAGCACACAGTGAGGAGAGTTTATCAAAACTGGAGCAGACAGAACCTGGAGCATTTGGCCATAGTAACCAATCAGCATCTATCTTTCATTTTCCAAGCTTAACTGAACAACCTGAAAAAAGTAGATAATTGGTTGTCATGGGCAACTGCTCCTGATTGCGTCTGCTCCAGTTTTGATAAATTCCCCCCAGTATGTCTGGCATATCTAGATCACATTGCAATTTCACTCATTGAAGCAAACCCACGTAAGCACTGGCAAAATATACTGTATACTCCATAAAGATGGGGTCTGTTTATAAACAAACCGCAGAGCCATTTGCCTTGTGAATTTTTGTTGTGTGCAAATAGAAGCAAAAACAAATACTCTTCGTATATTTTATTTTCAGGTCGAATGTAATATAATACTGCATTAAGCCATATGCTCCTCAGCTCCGTCTAGTGGCCATAGTGTGGTATTTTCCTAATATTACATTTATCCTGAATAGAAAATATGCTACCGTGTTTCCCCGAAAATAAGACAGTGTCTTATATTTTTTTTTCTACGAAAAAAGACACTAGGTCTTATTTTCGGGGGATGTCTTACCTGGCTTCCAGGA